TATATATATATAGATATATATATGTCATTATTACTAATTTACTACTAAGCAGTAGTTTTTCAAAAGAAAGAAAGATGTATGGACATATATAAATATATTTTATATAGATTTATACATATATAAGTATATTTTATATTTGATATATTTTTATGCACATTTTTTCAAGTATTTATACTAATACGCGTGTTTTACGCAACTATATTGTAATGTTCCTTAAACAATTTTCGTGGTTCTCACGATTTAAATTTTTTATACATATACTTACTTTCAAATTTATCCACCTAAAATCGTAAAAAAATAAAATTTTTTATTAATTTTATAAATTTTTTTTCAAGGCACAATAGTTTCACGAAAGTTTGTTGTTGACGTAATTATTTTATCCTATTAAATGGCTTAAAACACTTTTTCAAAACGACAGGTAAATACACTGCGCTATAACAAATATGTCTAAAGCCACCGATCTAACATTAACAAATTAGCAGGGAATGGAAGTAACTCGTTACTTTTAACGAAGTTACAGTTACAAGTTACTTTTTTGATAATTGCGTTACTTTTTCTTTGATAACTGTAAAGGTCATCACACGTATAAAAATTTTAGTAGTAATCGTAAGGTCTTAAGCAAATCGGCCAATCACAATCAAGATTACGATCTCACATTTTAATACACTAAACTGTGACGCTAAAACTTACGATACTACTAAAATTTTCGTACGTGTGATGGCCTTAACGGTAACGTATTTACATTTTTTGGATAACGGTAACGAATTCCGGCCGTTATAACAATTACATGTTATTAATTACGACTGCTATAAATGAGGTTGCAAAAGACATTGAGTATTTTTATTTAATACAGGCGTACAAACTACATTTAGTTTAACTTAATCTAAATATCGTACACATTTTGTTTTAGTTCAGGCTGTGTACAAAGCATTACTTTTGTACATTTCTGTGTACATTTTTATGTTGAGCAATTGGAAAACACTCCTTTTTGCAAAACTTCTGTTATATATTTTAATTACAGCGTTATAATTTTCTTTCTATCAAAATATTTGATTTACAACTAAAAGTATAGATTAAGTAAAAAAATATAGCTGTATTCCCTTGGGAAAATTTACTTCAGAAAACTTAAAAAAAAACTTAAAATTTATTTTAAAGAAAACCTAAGAGAAAACTTAAGAAATATAAAGTTAATTTGGACACTTTAAACTTTTATTTAAAGTAATTTTGAAACTTACCCAATGAGGAAAAAACGATTTTTTAAACGTTTTTTAAAAATAAAGGTTTTTTAAATGAAAAAATAAAGACTTATCACGTTATTTAAATGTTTTTTCAAACGTTTTTAAAAACTTTTTAAAAACGTTTGAAAAAACATTTAAATAACGTGATAAGTCTTTATTTTTTCATTTAAAAAACCTTTATTTAAATGTTAAAAAACATTTTTTTAATATTTAAAGGAAATGTTTCCCAGATAACAAAAAAAAAGTTACAGCAGTTCATTATAATAAAGAAATTATGTGTCTTAATGTTCCTTTTAATCTCTAACTTATATTGTGATTCAGATCCTATACAATCTTATATAATCTTCTAGTTTTCTACAAAGTATAAAAAAATTCTAAAAGTATAAAATATTTTAGCTGTCAACTGCTGTAGCGATCCTGAAGTGATCTTTGACAGCTGAGATAAATATATACAGTACCATTATTTATGGAATTATTTTACACTTATATCTTCTTTCTGTAATACATCGGACATATGTATATTTCAGTTTACTGCATATTTTACAGAGTTTTGAATTACGAAATTATGTTTCAAAAAGAACTAAAAAATAAAACTATACAGTGTCGGTGTTATACATATAATATATTATTATTTTTATTAACGTTTAAACTTAAAAAATACTGCAAAAGTTCATTAATTTTTAAAAAGTAATGGAAAAGTAACGAAAAGTTACTTTTTTGAGTAACGGTAACTGTAACGAGTTACTTTTAAAAAGTGTTAACTATAGTAACGGTAACTTGTTATTTTTTTTACTCGGTAACGAGTAACTGCAACTTTTAAAAAGTAACTTCCCATTCCTTGCAAATTAGCAGGGAATGGAAGTAACTCGTTACTTGTAACGAAGTTACAGTTACAAGTTACTTTTTTGGTAACTTTATTGGTAACTGCGTTACTTTCTTTTTTTGGTAACTGTAACGGTAACGAGTTACATTTTTTGGGTAACGGTAACGAAATTTACAGTTACTTTTGTCGTTACTTTGCACACGATTGAACACGGTTCGATTGGATACATGCTATTTACAGCGCTTATCAATAAGACTTGAAAGCCCTTAGACATTCGGCCGTTATGATTCAGTAATTATTTTACACTTCTATCTTCTATGTAATACATAGGACATACAAATATTTCAGTTTGCTGCATATTTTACAGGTTTTAGAATTACAAAATTGTGTTTAAAAAAAATTAAAAAATAAATTAAATAATAGTAAAATGAGAAGGGCTACGAACCCAAAAGCGAAACAGTTTAAAAGACGATGACAATAAGTGTGGAAACGTCGTTTGTTTTTATCTTGTTTTATCCATGTTGTTGTTCTAATATATATTTATACATTTAATTACATTGTCATCGTCGTTCTTATCGGAAATAAACTGTTTCATTTTTGGCTCGTAACCCTTCTCATTTTACTTTTATTTAATTTATTATTTGAGCCATTCTACATTTTTTTTTTTTTTTTTAATAAAACTATATATATTTGTCAGTATTACATATAAAAAAAAATGCAAAAGTACATTTTTAAATTGATTTTAAAAAAGTAACGGAAAAGTAACGAAAAGTTATTTTTCAAGTAACGGTAACTGTAACGAGTTACTTTTAAAAAGCGATAACTGTAACTGTAACTAGTTACATTTTTTACTCGGTAACGAGTAACTGTAACTAGTTACTTTTAAAAAGTAACTTTCCATTCCCTGCAAATTAGACACAGAATTTTCATAGATGCTCAGCGACGAGACAGTTTACTTGCTAATATGCACGATTCGAAGCCTCGGTTAAGTCCCGGCACCGGTGGAGTTATTTTTGTAGTGTAGTCGCTTATTTCTTACAGCGCCCGCGCACACTCGTTTATAGATATGTACATAAATGAGAGAGATAATGGATATGCCTACTAATTATACACATAAGTTTATCAAACACGTGTTTAAAGATACTTTTACAAATATGTTTATAGATATATATACGTATTTAAAATAGGATGAGTTGCGACATGTCCACGAATAATATATGTTTGTCTCTAATACGTTTATATGGGGCATTCCACGCCAAGTGGGTCACTCATTTTGTGAAGTTTCATGGATTTCATATTGCTTGAACTTGAACAGTTTGATGAATAAAGACTCTATGCCGAATAATATACCTGTAGGCCAACTGGTTGCCGAACTATAGAGCCGTCAATTTTTGGGCTTTCTCGTCGCAGCGCTCTTTTCGCTTGTCATTAGTGGGCATGAGAGGCAAGTTTGAAAATGAAATGTAGAGTTACCTTATAGAAAATTGAACGCTCTTTCACGTAATACTTTTTTTTCGATCAGACCGGTTTACGACGATGTTTGTCAGTTTTAAAGTTTTCAAAATGGCGGCGCGCCTAAAAGGCCAGTCTCAATTTTCTTTTAATATAGCTCAAAATGTAGCTCCAGGTCTCTACTTTGTTACTCTAAAAGGACTTAATGGGACACGCATTCGTTTGGGAGTAAGAGCTAGGAAAGTGAGGAAAATGAGTGGTGCGGCAAGGGGACGGAGCGACATTGCCTCACTTTCCTAGCTCTTACTCCTAAACGAATGCGTGTCCCATTAAGTCCTTTTAGAGTAACAAAGTAGAGACCTGGAGCAACATTTTGAGCTATATTAAAAGAAAATTGGCCTTTTAGGCGCGCCACCATTTTGAAAACTTCAAAACTGACAAACATCGTCTTAAACCGGTCTGATCGAAAAAAAGAGTATTCTTACGTGAAAGAGCGTTCAATTTAAGGTAACTTCTACATTTCATTTTCAAACTTGCCTCTCATGCCCACTAATGACAAGCGAAAAGAGCGCTGCGACCAGAAAGCCCAAAAATTGGGTGGCCCACTTGGCATGGAATGCCCCATATGTATTTTTTAAAATACATTTACAAATAAGTTTATATGTATATATTTTTAAAACTATGTTTATATATATACGTTTTTAAAATGGGATAGGCTGCGGACATATCTACAGATTATATACGTTTATTATATACGTTTCTTACACGTACAATATACGTATGGTTGTTTGCATTTTTATACGTTTCTTATACCAATATGTGTTTATTGGTAATTATATGTGACCGCCTTCTTTGACTCCGACTGCATTTGCGAGATGCCAACCGTGTTTGACGATCTATTTACTATTATTATGATATGGACAATTTGAACATGGTGAAACACTGTTTCAATTGGTCATTTAATCGTTTGGTGAACTTTATCTTGTCTAGAATGTCCATCGCAACTTTTTTCATCAAAATAACACTTTTATCGTTAGTTCTTATTGTTAATTGATTTTCGTACATATGAGGAAGACTGAATCATACAGCTAAAACATGTAATGTTAATTGAAGTAAAGTTCAATCTTTGTTTGTAGTATCTCAGTACTTTTATTTGAATATTTAAGGAAGTGTTTCTATTTATCAGACTCTTATTACTAGTCCTTTCGTATTACATAATTGTTAATTTATTGGGTATGTTTACATTACATGCAAATTTTCGCATTACTTCATATCGAATTACATAAATTACTTTATCAACATTTTTTACTATACGTTACTTCATTACTTTAACATGCATCTTCAATTTTCTTAAAAGTTTCATCTATTTGCAACTTGCCTCTAAAAGAATTTTCTATCTGTGTTTTTGTCTTACCTCGAGTCTCCGGTAATACAATTATTAGAAAAATAGTAGCTATAATAGACATTATGCAATAAAAGTAAATAGTACCATTTCTGTTATGCTTTACCATTATTGGATACAATTGTGTAGCGATATAGTCGTAGAAAAGAGCGACAATAACGGTAAGAGGCCCAAGAAAGCTTACGTATTTAGTAGGATACAGTTCCGGAATCATCGACCAAGGTATCGAAAAGAATCCGTATGCTGCAAATGTCTGCAATTTATTGATTAATTATAAACTCTATGGCTAACTGTAAATAATTATCAAATTTTTGCCATAAAATTCAAAAGGTAATATCTAAAGTTCAATCTACGTTAGATCTAATAAGTTGGATTTAAGTCTCTCAAAATTATTTTCATGATTACCTTTATAAAAAGAAATTTTGATTAAACAAAAAGAAATTACATAATTATTGAACAAAATACTACAGATATTTTTTTTTAAATGTTATTTTCTTACCACATAGAAAAGGATGCAAACTAGAGGTACAATTGTAACGTTAGTATCTTCAAAAAATTGCAGGTACACTGCTAAGACACCCAAAGAAATTGACATACCACTACCGGATATAATCGAAATCGGTCGACGACCAATTCTAGTAAATATGAAACCTTATTATAACAAAAACTGTTGTATAACATGTAACTAACACGTGTGTTACATGTAATATACAGGTTGATTGTAATTTTTCATTTATAGAGAGAGAGATCTAACACTTTATAATATAATATACATATATTACATATGTTACATTGTATTTGAAATATGTATTTGATTAGCGTTGGCATCCTATAATATCAAGGCATCATATTCTTCTATCGATGTAATTACAAAATAACCACAATATAACATATATTATATTACAATTATATAAATATTAATATTATATTACAATTATTAGATACATCTGTAAGTGGAAAAAATTACAACTAATATATACGTTGCATGAAATATACATATTTGTTACATGTTATACAACAGTTATACATGTACTTAACATGCTAAAAATAAAGTTAATAATATGCCTTTTTTTAGCTCTTTATATATGAATATCCTTGGCGGAAAAAAAATTTTTACGATAAAGTACAGACGAACTACATAGAGACAAAATCTTTGAAATTTCTAATTTTTCGTAAATATTTGTAGTGGGACGTAGAATGAAGTTTGTCTTATAAATTCTTAGTTTTTCGTAAAAATTTGTTTGCCAGAGTAATTTTATATTTAGATTGCTAAAATATACAATATATAATATTTTGTATCATACGATATATACAAGTGTGCACACTGCGTATAATAAATAAAAATTATTACCTCATGCTGCTGCATGCGCTGATTATGTTGAATAATACTTGAATAATTCCAACTATGACAGTGATCAAGAAAGGATCAATTGTAACATTTATTTTGCTGATCATATCGACACAATAATATATAATTACATAGGCCCCACTAAATCTTTGAAAAAAGAAATAGACGTTTAAAATCACAATCGGTTTCCACACTTCAGGTAAACGGATTATTCTCCTAATGTTCTTTAACTTGCTAGATACATTCGTGAAAAACGATTGTTGTCCGGTCTCCACAGTTAAGGAGGAGTTTATCTGACAATTTTCGGACGTTTTCAAATCGTTTGTCTTTGCGCTGTAATTTACCATTTCGGTAAACTCTTCTTGGAACTCTATCGTCTCTTGAAGCAGACCACGGATGCGAAGTAAAGCGATCTTAGCTTCCTCTTTTCGACCTTTTAAGAGTAACCACATAGGACTCTCACGAAGAAAAAATACATTGCACAAAACAAGAATTATTGAAGGTATTAAAAAAAATGCTGCTATCAACCTCCAATTGTTCTAAAATAATTTAAATATTTTAAATAAAGTATAAATGTAAATTAATACGTATTAATTATACTTTATTAAACTTTATTTAATTGTAAATTTAATGTAATTTTACCAGTTTTTTATTAAAGTTTTCTTCATTTTTTTTTATTAATAAGAGATTTTATTTAGGATACTATAATGTTCTCTTGCCTGTGCAACATATCCCAAAAAGTAAACGAGTAAAACTCCAACGGAAACCCCTATATTTGGAGTAATTGTAGCAACTTCTCTCCATGCGGGTATAGAGATTTCTGATAAATAAATTTCAATGGAAGGTGAAGCAAGACCTATGGAAATTCCTGAAAATTAAAAAAAAGAGAATAATCTGTATTAATTTTTAATTAATACAGATTATTCTCACCGTTAAGCAAACCGTTAATTTAAAAAAGGACTTGTTTTTCTTTTTACATTAACGGAAAATGATGCCATAGTCTTATCCGGATGGATAGTCATAATTATATGATCGGACTTCACTTGGTGTTTAATCTTACAATTATAATTATAGGATTAATAAAACGTGCTTGTGCACGTTGTAGACATTTGCAGTAATATGCATAAAATTTTTATTTTATAATTTTTTAATATGCGATATTATAAAATTTTTATAATATGCAATGTTTGTCTAATATAACTCATTCATAGTTAATATAAGAACTACAATGTCACATAGTTCAGATAATAATAATTCAACATACTCGACTTTTCTAAATGCAATGTCCTGTATGTCGGAAATAAAAGCCACAACACAAACTTTATTTTGCACAAAAGAATCAACCAACGAGAGTACAAAATGAAGAACTCTGATTTGTTGATTCTCTTTTGCTTTATGCCTTATGCATTATACAGCATTATGTAAGAGTCTATTGTCATTGAAAGAATTAGTAAACTTATATACATACTATACGAGTCATTCGATTATTGGATAAATCTACTGTAATTTCTTTTCTAGCTAATTACGTTTATTAATTGTTAATTACACAGAATTTGAATGTCTAATTTTTTACATATATTAGTGATTAGTGTTAATTATCTATTAGTGATTTATCAAGATACTTTGATACAATTGCATTTTTATTTTTACTTTTTCAAAATTATTTAATAATATAATTTTTATTAGACAGATTATAATTGGTAAGAGATAAGTAAGGATAACTACATTAATACTGTTTATACTAATGCAGATTAACTTTAATTTAATGTTTATCCTTTTTTATTCCTAAGAATTATAAAGAGATAAAAAGTAAATTAAATCAAGATTATAAAGTTAATTTGGTAAAAAAACGGATATTAATTTTGATTTAATGAATTTCTTACCTGTTAGCATTCTGCCGATGAAAAGCTGTATCACGTTATAACTACTCGCAACCAAAATCCATCCTAAAGAAAAGATAATACCGCATACTATCATGGTACATCGTCTTCCATAATACATCGTAATAAGGCATATGAGACTACCAATGAGTGGAGTGATAGATACTATAGAAGCTAGACAAAAATTTTCCAATATTTAATGTGCAAGTAAGTACATTTTACAAATCTTAATTCTTACAACTACTGTTAGTATTTTGTAAAAGTAATTTATCAATTTTTAAAATTATGTACTTTTATTTTCTTATTTTTTTTATTTTATAATATTATGATAAATACAAACGTGTATATAACATATAGTAATAATAAAATAGTAATAAAGTATAATAATAAAACTATTCTTAGTAATAAATACTCATATAGTAATAAAAATATGTAAAGGTTATTGATTATGTTGTTATTAACAATTGTATGAAAAGTTATAATATTAAGTTGTGCATATATAGATTAAATAACAAGAATTATTAACAACATAACTAATACGAAGAATTATTAACGTTAATAGTAAACACATTTTATAGTAAAAAGAAGCATTAATAACGTTTTTATTAAAAAAAATCGTTACCGAAAAAAAGTGTCTCCGTTGAATTTAAAGTCAAGGAGGTTGTGTTGCGCATTAATACTGGAAGTACTACGGCAGAATATCCTTGAGCGGCTCCTTCATTAATTAAAGCCATATTGCTAAGAAATATGTAAAGAAACTGCAATAGATCATAAATACAGAAATTAAAAATTAAATATGTAGTAGCATTTATTCTTATCGTACTAAAATCAATAATATTCTATTTTTTTAGAAAGTCTAAACTCACAATTTTAAAAAATTTCTTTTTCTATTTTCTAAAATCCAATTTACAAAGATTTTATTATTAAGAACATTAACTTTGTATATAATAATAGATCATTTATTTCCTGATTAAATATATTTAACACTTAATTACATACCAAAAACAGGACTTCTCGTCGCACATTTAATTGTAGAAACATATTTGTATTTATTGTATTGTCACTGTTTTAAGAAAATATGCTGATGTTTAACTTGGACATTTAAATTTTGTAACATACAAATTTTACTCGCGCTATTTGTTGTAGGAGAACTGTAATAACTTAGGAGCGCGATTTTAATGAATATTCTCACGTCATAGTTCTTATGTAACTCCTGGGAGGACAGTAAACGTTGATTGTCTGCATTCAGAAAAAAGGAATTAGATCTATGCTGATATATGATCATATCTATTTCAACAGATCAGGGTCAAATTTGTAAATTGTCTCTATCTAGCCGAATTTAAACAGATATAACAAAATTTAATCCGTATAAAAAATTTTTTATATAATATTACAATAATTAATATAATTTTATGATTAAAATAAATATTATTTGTTAGCACATGATATTTCACATATATGATAAAATTATGATTAAATGATGAAAAGAAAAACATTTTTCCATAAATTCGGGAATTAATTTGAATGTTCTTAAGAAATCACTCATCCTATGTTGTACCACATTTAGTGCTGCTGTGCGATGAAAGACAGAAATTGTTACCTTGATGATATACGAATATTGAGTGTTAATTAATGCATGTATAACTGTGACATATCTATCAATAAATGTTATATACATATTCTATATATGATTTACTAAAAAAATATTCTCCCAATAAGTGGGAAATTTTTCTTAGTCTTCTGAGTAGCGAAGTACTCAGAAAGCAATGTGATTCATACATTTGTGATCACTTCGGTGCTTGCTTTTGTAATAAAAATTGCAATGAAAAAATCAATTAATAAAAAAATGGCAGATTAATAACCTAACGAATTTTTTTCTACCGGCATCGATCAAGTCATAACTTATTATGGGCGTCCACAGAAGGGTGCAAGAAGAGACAATTAATTGTTCCCTTCCCTAGGTGATAGGTGCGCGCGCGCCGAATGAAAGCATATATGTGGTGAGATCTTCGTGCCTTCTCATGACACTTCTGCTGACACTTGATGCTCATTTTTAGCATCAAAATAGATCACGTAATTAAAATTGACGATTCATACTCGTCAATATTTTTCCGATTTTAGATGGAGTCGTTACATAAATACTCAATTTTGCGGAGACATAGCATTTCGGATACGTAAGATTATTGTTTACCTTTTTTTTCTCAACTGTCTGTCTAGTCTCCCTGCAGATATACTCGCGAAACATCAATACGGATCCGAAAATAGATTTCGCTTTAAATGCCTACTGTTTTTGCGGAAACTCGAATTAGCTGTGTATTCTATTATATAAAATTACGATATAATTATATTATATACCTACTTGAAAATTACATGAAATATGTAAAATTTATGAAAAATATGCATTTTATGGAAAATATTCGCAGTTAAATCTTTTTGCATAAATATCCGTAGTCTAGTAATTATATACGTATAATAATATTATTATTAATATTAATATTATTATTATATTTTGAATTATGCCCCATATTGGAAAAAATCCTGTGGACGCCCATGCGTTCTTATCCTATCTTATAATTATATGCTATACTTAGACAATACGTAAGCAGACGTGCCTGATTGCGTATATGTGTGTGGATGGGTGTGTGTAAAGGCAGAGATCGTAGCAAAACTTTTATGTAATCCATATTGTATAAGAGAATCAACTTTTTTTATTGTATAAGAGAATCAACCAATCAAAATGCTTTTCTTCCATGAAGTGGGAGCAAAGGAAAGATTCTGATTGATTGATACGCACTACGTTATGTATTATGTAAAAATTTGCGCTACGCCTATTAAATGATCAATAACCTTCCCGCTTTCATCATTTTCAAAGATTATTCTAAAGCTATAGATTTACGAAGAAATTTCATAGGAGATGGTACCGTGATTAATAGATCATTCGTAGAACATACCACGTCAATCGCAGTATGTTTGAAATTGTTCAAAGCTTATTGCAATTATACTTTTGCGATAATCTTAGATTGTTCTCAGTATTTTAATGTTCTGTCAGGATATTGACGTAAGATGTATAATCGCTATAATTAAATGCGGTTTCAAAATTTCAGTTATTATGAAATCGGATTTAACTATAGCGTTTAGATGTTAATAGTTAATAACTACAAATGCAGTGTCATATTGAGACATAGGTTAATAGACTGTAGCCTTGCAGGGCGGTAAATTTTAAAAAGAACTTTCTTAATTGAGCGTTGAAATAATGTTTAAAATAATTTAAAGTTACTAGGTAGATAAACTTGAAATAAGAATCAACTATGAATATTGACTTAAGTTTTAAAAGACAATAGAGATGTGTGTTGTTCATCTTGTACAAACATAATATTTCGGCAATTTATGTCTATAAAATGCAGAGCAATGAAAGCTCATATGGATTATAAATTTGTATCAAGATACTAAACTATTCAAATTACTGATACATCCTATAACAAAATTTGCCCTTTAATAGCTTCTATATAAACCGCACGGAATTCTTAACTGCTTTCAACTATTGTTGACTTAACTCTTCAACGCGTATTATTAAAAATAATATGCGTTATTTTTAATTAGCCATTTAATCACCGAAACTAATTTATCTCAAAAGTGAATAAAATATCTACACCGAGGAACAACTACCAACCTTCAACCATTCCCAATCATTTACTGAAGAACTCGCGCGAATAGTTAGTATCATCTTAATTAATACTAAATATAAAATTAAAGAAAATATAAAGTTTGACATTATTGTCGAAAAAGTAATATGATAAGATTATAACGGCATAACACAAGCAATAATAAATGATAAAAGTAAAAATTAATAAAATAGCCTATTCTTTAAAAATTTAAAAGATGTTAACACACAAAGACAAAGCTTTGACTTTACAAAAGTTTATATTATCAACTCACTTTATAGGCACATTTATATCTGTATTGCAACATAAATGTTATCTGGGTGTGCATCGCGAGTGATAAGATCTACAGTATTTGACAACATGGAAAACACAAAATTGATGACGAAGTTCTTGTCAAATATGTTAAAGCAAACCCAATTTTATATGACAAATCTCGCAAAGACTATAAAAATAATAACATTCGCGTTGTTGCATTTATTGGTCTTTATGTTTAAAATGCTGTTAAATGTTGCACATAACTTTCCGCGCTTCCTGATCGGTACTGATGCCTTAAAGATTAATGTCTATACTGTGGACTGTTTGATGCAACATGTTAAGTTTTATAGCTTACTACTTAGTGCTTATATAGCTTAAAGCCTAGTGATTAAAGCAAGATTGTGGACCGAACTTATGTAACATAACTATTATCTAACGTAACCGCATGTGTTGAGTAGTGAATTGTGCCTTCCCTGTCTACCTTCTTTACATCATGTAAATATTTCCTGTTATAAATTAAAAATTAAGATTTGGACAAAATTTTAGATAGAAAAATAAAATCATTTTAAAATTAAGTCAGGAATGCGACATTTTAAGGACAATTATCTCGAAATATTGTATTATGTAAAAAAAATCACATAATTTTAATAAAAATAGCGATAATTTTAAAATTTCAAAAAATCAGACACACACACTTAAATAAAAATTATTTATATATCATGATATTTGCTCCTTGAAAACACACAATTTTTCTCTATTCAGTCAAGGAAAATATTTTTGTTTAATAATATACTTTATCAAATTTTATAATTTTAAATTAATTTTTTACAGTTTTTTGTTCGTCGTGACAGTTAGACGTGTTTAACCATCAGTAGTGATTTTGATAATTTTATACCTTTTATCTGTTTCAATATTATATACTCGTTAATTTATTTCAATTTTATACATCGGACGTTATGCACATTTACTATGATATTATTTTTTTATTTTCTTTGACTTTAAATCACAAATTAGATATTTAACTATTGACGAACATTTCATCATTGACATGATTTTTTTAATTTTGACAACGACGAGAAATTTTTGCATTCGGTCAACCAATCGCTTGGCGAGCAATTTCCGTGTCTCTGTTTTAACATTCATCCGTTTTTTTCTTAAAAATCATCGACTTTATAGTTATAATATTTTTTGCGTAATAATTTTTTTGTATCTGAAGAGGGCCTAATAAAAAGCCAAAACATGTAGTAGGCCAATAATATTGTCAATTGTATGATTATTGGTTTTTCAAAATAGATATATTATATAATTTTTATTCTTTGACTCTTATATGCCCTATATTTATACATATATGTTTTTGTGTCTTTAGTTAAAAAGATTTAAAACATTCTCCACGTTTGCATGCAAGATTGTATTTAGAAAAAGTAAATATAAACAGTTGACAAGTATTTGTTCTCCTAATAATATTGATTTATACCATTTTGGCCTTAAAATAAACGAAGTTGTTTTGATAGATTTGGATATTCTGATACTATTGTATCACATTTTTGTTAATAAAAATTTATTTAAAAAAACTGCACACTTATTGTTACAATCTTAATGTTTGCAGAAAAAACTGATCAGTAAGCGCTCAATGATTCTTTACTTTGATTGGTTCTAACATTTGGATCTATCAAAATATCTAAAGGGGTAAAAGAATTAATGGTTAATGAATCAATGAGTTTTCTCTGTTAAATGCAACCGATTTTATGTTTACAGAAAAATAAAATTTGAATCATTAGAACAATACTTATATTTCTTTCTAACTTTTGTTCTTCGATGAACAATAAAAAATTAATTTTTTGCAACAAAATTAAAAATAAATTACTGAATACTTACAGTAATATTTCAACGTTTAAAAAATACTTAGAGTGGATACTAAAACGTTTAAATATAAAATAACATTTTAATAAAAAATAAAAAGTAAAGTATACATTATTGCACACAGCGATATGCCATTTTTTGCAACACAAAATTGCACACGTTGCAAATAAAAAAAAAAGTGTTATACATATGATCGTTACGCTATTTAATATAAAATTCGATAATAATGCTATTGCAACATATGAAAAACTTCGATAAACTTTT